GAGGTCTTTAATCACATCTCATTCAGACTACCGTAGTTACTTAGGTGCAGCGTGCATCCCTCTGTGCTCCATCAGCTGTTTCCAAAGGGTTTTGCTCATTTTTGCTTTCCTGTAACACTGAGCAAGTATCAGTGGCTACTATTTATTTATGCCGGTTACTTTAAATACTTTTGATCCCATCTATTAGGTATTCTTATTGACTCCTTTTTACAGAACAGGAAATTGAAGTACAGAGAGGTGAAGTTATGTGCCCAAGATCACAGAGCTAGGAAGCCACAAGGCCAGGATTTGAACTCCCATCTCTAGAACATAAGAACCTGTGCTTTATAATTCATGTTTTAACTGGATAAAAATAACAGCTTTTGAGCAGCCTATGCAGATACTTAAGGATTGACCAGGGAGCACATGTTTTGTTCTCTTGTTGGGGCTCATCAGGTTCTACTAAGCTGAATCATCATAACCAGTGTCACAGAAGCTGAATAAAAAGATTAGGATGTTAACTTGCCAGTGTCTGGGGAGAGAGAGAAATGACATCCATGCTAGCCCAAGTGTCAGATGGCACAATTATCTTTTATCAAAGGGAAACTGAGTTGAGATGAGAAGGTTGAAGAGTGAGTTTATTTCCTGTCTCTGCCAAACAGGATTCGAGCCCTTTGCAAAGGGAGCTGCTATTTTAAGCAGTATAGTCACCCTTGAGGCATGATGAGTCACCCCAATAAAAGGCTGACTTGACCAAGCTGATCAGAGACTCACGTTGAATCATCAATATTCTACCTCTCTATTTTCGACATTCTCTAAAACATGATTACTGGGTCTCACTTTTTGACTTTGGGCTTTGGGTTGTGGAGTTTACTCTCTTGATGTTGATTATTCCTTTCCTAGCATTACTATGCATTTTGGGCAGCTGGCCCCAGGGGGTAGTGGTGCGTTTGCCTTAGTTACATAAGGATGGGGTGTTTAGTCAGTCTTCCTGATGGTGTAAGGGCATAGGCAACAAACAAACAAATAAACAAATAAAATACAGGGCAAGATCCTTATGGCTGGCATTATAAAATCATCACAGCTTGTACTTGAGAAATGTACCCTACCATATACTTGAGAAATGTACTCCTTTTGGATATGTTACTCACATTACTGCCTGCTTAAGAAATCCTGAACCCTCCCATTTTCCGCTGAGTCCCATCCCCTCCTTCTTTGCCGGAGTGAGGGAAAGGACTTGGAGAGAGGCAGAGGGTCATTATGGGGGGACCCCAGCCCTCTCCCTTCAGAGATCTTCTGCTGTACACAACAGTGATGTTGGTAATTCAGGAAAATAATAACATGAGCAAGGGGAAGTGAATGATGCTTTTAAAACATTTTTTTCACTTATAAAAATATGCCATACAGTTGTGATTGTGCAAGAAAGCTATGTGATCACTTATTGGAAGGGTCAAGATTAGTGCAATCACCATGAAAATCAGAAAGGAGATTCTTCAAAAACCAAAAATAGGGGTTCCATTTGACCCAGCTATTCCTCTTTTAGGTTTCTTCCTGAAAGAGTTAAAGACATCGCACTACGATGATATATGCATACTCAAATTTATAGCAGAACAATCCTTAATAATTAAATCTTAGAAGCAGCTTAAATGTTTACCAACAGATGAAACGATAAAGAAAATATGGTATTTATACACAGAAATGTACTCCTCTACTACAAAGAAGGTAAGTGTGAGTCATTTGTAGGAAAATGGATGCACCCTGAGACCACAATACTAAGTGAAATAAATCAGACTCAGAAGGCTAAATACTGCATAGTTGCTCTTATTTAAGAAACTGAAAATATAAATAAATGCAAGGATAAAATAAGAGATAGATAATAGGAAATGGGGAGATAGACCTTTCATAAATGAGAAAGGGACTAAGACACAGAGATAGGCAGGAAGGCAGAGGGAGGAATGTAAAAAGAATTAAGATGTGTTATGAACATGTACCAACTCCTTACTCTGTAATCATTTGTACTGCAAACATGTACTAAGAAAAATTAAAATAAAAAAACTGAGTGCAGCAAACAGAAACAATTCTAGATATTTTAACTTTCAACTTGAATGCAGGAGACAAAATATTTTTAAAAAAAACTGAACGTTTCAGTACAGGCATTCTAGGCTATGTTTCTAGAAACAACTCCTAGCATCCTGTGGAACTGGCCCATTTGGGGAACTACCACCTTAGAGTCCACTGCAAGGGCTACTGATTTCTTTCTTTCTTTCTTTCTTTTTGTCTTTTTCCTTTTTTATCGGTACTGGGGATCGAACTCACGACTGCCTGCTTGCAAGGCAGGCGCTTATAGGGCTACTGATTTCAGCACCCCACGCCTGAGACCATTTGTAGTGTCAAGAAGGCACATGGCCCCATCACAGTGCTCCAGACACCCAGAAGGCTGCAGAATGGATGGGTACATCAAAAAGCTTCCTGGTTCTACTATACTGTTTGTGGATTGTGACCAGTAATCTTGATATGTTCACTTCACTGAATTAATAAATGCTTAGCAGATTAGCAGAGCAGGCTTCTGGGTTTGGGGGGTCATGGAGGTGTGGTCTTGAGTACTTTATAGGATTGTTCCTCTCTGCAGCTGTTCCCTGGTCATCATGTACTAAGTAGCTTTGTTCTGCTGTACCATTCTACCATGATATTCCTCCCTCAGAGCCAACTGACAATGTTTGAATTCCCCAAAACTATGAGCCAAACTAAACTTCTTTAAATTGTGAGTGTTAGATACTGTGTCCAGCAATGGGAAATAACAGTGATGACAACAAAGGATTGAATGGACTGAGAGAATTGGTTTTCACTAGCTCTACCTCCCAAACCTCAGGGAGGACTGAATGCAGATACCAAAGCCCTGGGCGCACAAGTCCTTTACACAAATGGAGTATTTACACGGAATCTAGTTGCATCTTCCTGTATACTTTACATCATATCTAGGTTACTTATAATACCTACTACAATGTAAATGCTATATAAATACTGTGTTCAGGCAGTAATGACAAGAATAGATTAGGAAACAATGATAAAGAAAAAAAAACCTGTACAGGAAAAATATATTTTTGTTTTATGGATAGTTGAGTTTGTGGATGTGGAACCTGCAGATAGGGAGAGTGGACTATACGATCCAAATGGCCAAACTTAATCTGCTTCTAGAATGCAAGCTAAGAGAGAACACAGAACGTAGTTCGATGTTTACTCGTCCCTGGTAAGAAGGCAGAGGGAGCCAATCTACACCCTCCACATACCGAGCTAGTGTGCTCACTACCAAGGCTATGACCACGTGTCACACCTATGATCATGGTCATCATTCCTTATCATTACTGCCTTCTTTCACAGAAGAATGAGCCAAAGTCTAGTGGGACCCTTTTAGGTGCACAAATTTCACTAGAAAAAGAAATGGAGCCAGTCTCTGAACTCCACCTGCCTGATTCTAGAGATACTCTCAGCAGTCCCCCGCCTCACCACCTGCCATCACGCTGGAGTCACAGACACTGAACAGAACTGTCAGCAGTTTTCCACCACAGTCCTGTTCCAGGCTCCTGAAAGGCTGCCCATAGCTTTCCTTGTAACTGCCTGCACCATTCTAATGCCCCGAGGAAGCTTTCTCTACCTCCATTTCTTCCCTCAGGAGAGAGACAGCTGCTTTCCTCATCCTGGGGAAGGCCTTAAATGGCCTTCTGCTGCAGCCACATCCACTTTTACTTCATTACTTTCCATCAGAAATAGAGAAGATAAAGGCACGGCCCTACTTTCTGAAGTCTCTTCGTCTTAACAAATTGTAATTACTACATCCTTTTTCCTTTTTCTAATCACAAGAGACTTTTCCCAGCAACCTACTTATTGATTCTTCTACTTCCTTACCTCTCTTTTCCAATTGCTCTTTGAAGCTTGGCTTGCTATGGAAGTTACTTTTCTTTAAATTGCTTAAGAGGCTTCATTAATGAGGTTGACAACAGCCAGATCCTGCCTCTTAAGAGACTTGTCATTCCCCTAACCCAAACATTTTAAAACACATGTGAGTAGAATGGGAAAGCAGTGTGATCATGATTTGTTTGTTTGCATCTGCCACTGGAAAGCAGCTCTTCAATATAAAATACCTTTGTAACATCCCTGAACCCAGTCTTGTCATTTACTGATTCAAAAATATCTGTGAATCCTTATTATGTGCTGGCACTGTGCTAAATGCTCAGAAAAGCAGGTGAATAAATGGTCATGGTTCTTGTCTTTCAGAAGCTTCCAATCCAGACATTATGCAAGCAATCGATTATTCAAAACTAGGCTCTTACTTGGATAAAGTGGTGAGGGAAGGTTCCTCCGGGGAGGGGACATTCATACTGAAGGAAAAACAAGAGGCAGTCATTCAAAAGAGATGAACATTTACAGGAGTGGGTGCAGCATATGGGTAGGTCCAAAGATGGAGAAAGAAAAATACAGTGTGTGGCAATGTCTGCAAAGAGGTGAGGAGGGCAGGAGCCCACCAGCCAGGGGAGGACTGTTACTCAGCGTCAGTGGAGCCAGACTTTGAGGGCTTAAAAGGTCAAGGCAAGGAGTTGGAACTATATGTCCAATAGGACAGGCAAAGATTTAAGGGTTCCAAGCAGGGGCAGGATGTGATGTGTACTAAGAGATCATTCTCATAACTGAATGGGTCTTGGACAGGGACAAGGAGATCATGAGCAGGGTGGAGGTAGAGGCTACCACAGTCACCCAGCCTGGGCTAGGTGGTGGGAGAGGTGAACATGAGGAGTCAGGGTGAGGAATGACCAAATACAAGTGAGTGGTGGAGAAGCCCAAGAGTCAATGATGTGTCATTTGTCCAATGATGTTGCAGTTCAGCATCAAGAAATTCTGGTACCAATATGACTGGATGTACTTTCCTGCCTATGGGAAAGGAAAATAGATTTTTTTTACTATGAAATACAGCCCTTGGCAACATATCTTTTCTACCCTTTTGACCATATTCTTGTTATTCCATCCAGATTCCAGTGGATGAGAACCTGAAGCTGCATAGTAGTTACCTGTCCAGAGCCTGAGCCATGAAATGTTGGCTCTGACAGCACCAAGATGACGGAAAGAGCATACTCCCCAGAGCCAGACATCCTGGTCCAAATCCTATTTCTCTTTACTACTGGTGTGATTACACCTGTTTCTCTGAGCTTGGCTTCTTTGGTTGTAAAGTACAGTGGGGATGACAGCATGAGTTGCTGGAAGGATTGGATGAGAGACTTCGGTAAAGTCTTTGGAACTGGGTCTGGAACATGGACTGTCAGCTCACGTCAGTGTAAATCAGTGGGAACTGGATCCGTTTGAGCTTTCACTCTGCACCTACCCATAAAGCAGGATTTGATGCCTCAAGGGACCCTTCAAATAGACCAAACTCCATGGACAATGAATAAAGAAAGACCACTTTCCTAAGTATTTCATGGGAAATAGAGGTTGTGCTTCCTTTAGAAGGCTCAATATTGTACCTCAAAATCTCTATTGAAGATCTGGCTGCTTCTGTTCATTTGCCACTGTATCCACCTCCTTTTATACTTCCCTCTTGCAGTTTTTTGGCTTCTGTAATTGGACTTGCTTTTAGTCTTTTGCTAATCCTGTTTTCTGCTGCAGACCGAAAGCTCGTATCCTCAACTCCTAAAGGTATTATATTGAAGTCCTAACATTCCAGGTTATGGTATAGGAAGTAGGATCTTTGGGGGGTGATAAGGTCCTGAGGACAGAGTTCTAACAAGTAGGGTCTCTTTTCCAGACACTTTCTAGAGAGATCCACCACCCTTTCTGCCATGTGAGGACACAAAGTGAAGATGGTCATTCATCTATGAACCAGATGGCAGCTCCTCTCCAGATGCTGAATCTGCTAGTATTTTGACCTTGGACTTCCCCACACCCAGAAATAAATAAGTGTACTTAGTGTGAGAAATAGATAAGTCACTTGGCTTAGGTTATATTGTTATACTATCCCATAATGGACTAAGGCATACTGAGTCTATTTCCCTAATTGCTTATCTTGTATATTCAGTCCCTGAATCCCATATTTTAGTTGTTCTCTTACTGGCAAGAGGTTGACTAATTTAGAGGAGACTAGGGATCCAGGTCTTTACTTCTTGGGGATTATTCTATTGTCTCCAAAGTCAATTGTACTGTGACATCTTTTGGCTTTTTTTTTAAACATTATGATAATAATCCAATGATAGAATGGCTACACAGAATTTAAGACTCTAAGGGTTGGGATATAGCTCAGAGGTACAGTGCTTGTCTAGCCCTGGGTAGTATTTCTAGCAAACACACACACCAAAAAAAAATCAGATTTTTTGATTCTAAATAGAATGTAAACAAAAACCCAGCACTATAAGAATTATGACCAAAAAAAAAAAAAAAAGAACAGGTTAATAGTTCATTCAAGATGCTTCAAAACAAGAAGCCAACTGACCAACTCAGGCCAGAGAACAAATATCACAGGTCATGAGAGTTGATTTAAGACAGCCAAATAGCTTTTGCCTTAGGCTACATAGCACCTTTCCTACCTTTTTCATTGATTCAAGTACAGCAAGATGTTTAGCAATAGCATAGACCCCACTGTGGATGGCTAAGAAGAAATCCAGAGTCACATGACTGTCTTCCCTGCTTCTAAGAATGAACCTGCCACTGACCTGGGTTTTACCTAGTACAGGAGTAGCATCATGGACAGCTCTTGAGATAATGTTAAGTTTCTTGCAGTCTTTTCTACTTGGATTATTCTCACCAGCATGAACAGTGATTCAGTAATAGTTTCAGTAATAACTAAAATATTTTTTAAAAATCAATTTCAGCCAGGTATGGTGGTGCGTACTTGTAATCCCAGCACTCAATAGGCAGGAGGACTGCTGTGAGTTTGAGGCCAGCTTGTGCAACAAAGTGAGTTCCAGTCACAGCTGTGATAGCAAGATCCTGTTTCAAAAAAAAAAGAAAGAAAGAGGCTGGGGATTTAGCTCAGCGGCATAAGCACCTGCCTTACAAGCAGGTGGTTGTGAGTTTGATCCCCGGTACCAATTAAAAAAAAAAAGATAAAAGTCAACTTCAAAGTGGTGAAAAAACCATTAGTGTTTTGGTGCTGGGTCATGTCCCAGTTTCATAGATTTTTTCAGGCTTATGCTGTTGATAGACAACATGTGACCCCAAAGCAAATCAAACTGTGTTTTTAAAATTTCCCAACTAATGTTGATTTAATTTGCATATACCATGATGAATGATTTCATGGAGTATTTGAAGCATTTGAAGTCATCTGATGCACCAAACAAATGTTTTGGGACTTTCAGAAATGATCTGAGTAAAAAGTACAACCAGATTTCCCCCATGCTTTCTTTTCAAAGTCAAGGGCTGCTATTTTGTACAGGTTTCTCTTTATTTTTGTTTCATTATTTTTTTTATTACAACGTGTTTATAGTTATAATTATTACACCCAACAAGGTGCTACATATATAGGACACATCTTAATTTTTATGTTTCCTCTCCCTCCTATTTCTCAAGAGATCTAATCTTGGTATCTTTGTATGGTTACAAAGTTTGGATGCTTATTTGTCACAATGAATGGTCATTTCCTTTAGCTTCTATTTCATATTTTTTGGCATGAATATATGGCTTTTACATAGCCACAAACCCAAGAAATAGGATCATGCCTGTACTCGATCTTAGCCAAAGGGCTGAGAAGTGATAGGATTGCATTTAAAAGTTCAATAACCTCTTGTTCATTTTAGATGCGAGTTCTGGTAAAGATGAGAAACCATTATCCTCCAAAGCATCTTGAAGTCATTCTCAGAGCAAAGTCTCGAATACTGTTCTCCAAGCCTACTTGCCCTGTGAATAGGTTTACTGTCTGGTCTTCCACTACCCAACAAGCTCTAGCAAATGCAATGTCTTCTAACAATGTGCTAATTATTGCCTCAGGTAGAACACAACCTTTCAGTGGGGTTTTCTATTTGTTTTTGATTTCTGTTTCTAAGGTGGGTCCCACTATGTTGCTCAGGCTGGTCTGAAAGTCCTAGGTTTACATGATTCTTCTGCATCAGCCTCCTCAGCAGTTGGAACCATAGCCTGTGCCACCATGGCCAGTTGAAGATTGACCTTCTAAAGGACAGCTTCAATTTCTGCTAGCATATCATGCTTGATAACTTCCAAGTTCAATTTTGAGACACGAATCAGTGACAAATAATCATAAGTCAGGCTTCTTTCTTAAAGGAATTCTCTAGATCAAGTTATAGAAAGTTGCTGAGCTAAGACCCTCCTTTGCTATGACTGGCAGCATTTAGGGCATTGTAGAAGTGAATAATTTGAGAGGAAGAGAGTAAAAATATCACAAGAAGTAAATGTACTGGCTGAGAAGCATTGTGTATTCTCAATCAGTAGTGATGTTCATTTGAGGGACCCTGAGATCAAGTAAGAAAACGAAACCTGGATCAGCTGAAGTGTTAAGAAGTTTTTCTGTTTTTTGTGTTAAGAAGTTTTCTGTTTTCAGATCACTTCTGAAAGTCCCAAAAGTGGCAGCTATTACTACAGCTTTGCAACTGGCTCAAGAGTGAGGCTATATATAGTAAGTGACAGGTGGGTTTTCGCCTGGTCAAGCAAAGTGGTGGTCGTGGAGAAAGAAGGAAGAAATCTTTTACTGCATTTTATAATAGTTGTAGTCAACTGGTTGCAAACATCATTACTTTTGCATTAGCCAGCTCTAGTTTGTTTGTGGTTCCCATGATAACACTTGAGGGCTTATCTAGATTGCTTCTGTACCAATAAGACAATAGAGGCTTTGTAGTCAGTGATGCCCAGTGAAGGAAGCTGCTGAAGAACTTTCTTTGGGATACAGACAGCTTGTTCCAGGTCTAGATCCCAGAAGAAAAAGTTTCTTCCTGAGGACTCTATCAACTCACAAAGACATGTAATCTCCGAAAATCTGTCTGGAATATCCAGTTAAACACAGAAATCCTGTTAACTGTTGTTTTGTGGAAGGTCTAGGATTAGTGTGATGGTCTGTAGTCTATCAGGAAAGGCTTCATTTTTCTGTCTTTAAATATGACTGTTTTGAAATAATGTACTACGTTTTGGAAAAATTGTAATTTATTAAACTTTGTGTCAGGGGTGGTGGTGTCACTGGTTTCTACCCCAGCAATGTAAACAAAAAACAAAACACCCCACACAAAACAAAGCAAGACAACACACACACACACACACACACACACACACACAAACTCTGTACCTTTATATCCCTTTTCTAAGGCCAAAAGCAAATAAATGAATTTTTTGGGGCCAAATTTCTTGTTCTATGAGTAAAGCAGAGAATCAGCTACATATTATATCAAAAGTAAATCATAAATTTATATCTTTCAAGATTTGCTTGAGGAACTGGGAAAACTTGACAGGGTATCGGTAAACCCCTGGGAACATGGCTGTCCAGATATATTATTAACCTGTCTGGGGGTCTGAAAGATGTCGATGGACCTAGTTATGGTACAGAGGTAGATTGAAAAGGGCAATACAAAGACTACAGTGAACCAAGTGGCTTCAGGCAGAATTGATGCCAACATGGCATTTGGGTTACATACTACCTAAAGCAAGAGTCAAAATTTTGTTGCTTGTGCTGAAGCTTTGAAAAATATCCTCACCCATTTGGTTTCCTCACCAATGAGACTGAAGTGTTTAAATAGTGACTATAAGCCCTTCAATTATATCACAGATTTGAGTGTTTCCGTAGCTCCTCTTTGAGGGGTATTTGGATGTTTGGGTCTATCTACTCTTCAGGCTCTAAGTATTTTTTCTAACTTAGTAAACTGTTAAGGCCACAGCATATCAGGTCTAGTGTGAAGACCCTTACCTGGGTATACATAAAAATAATAGATAAGACAAAGGCATATGTAGAGCAAATACAACTTGATTCTGAATGAAGTGTGCGCTGGAACTTTAACCTCTTTGTTATGCACTTCTGCTTTGCAGGATTTGCTGATTTCTGTGGTGAAAACACTCTCACCACAGTTAATTTCAAGCTACCAACTGATGTCACTAAAAGGGAGTTGAGTTAGGAAGAAATATGCACAACTATTTCCACCACACAAACACAGTGGCTGGAAAAAAAAATCCAGGACATAGATAAAGGTAAAAATGTGCTGAACAGGAAATGATGAGTTTTGAATATATTACTTATACTTTTAACATTGTGTAAGCCTATCCAGTTTAACTTTTAAGAGTGTCCATATTTAAAAACTAGCTCACAAGTCTACCGAGCATTTTATCAGCTTTTGCAATCAACTGTGAAACAGTGTAAATGGACTCCAGCACAGCACGCAGAAGGGTAAAGCCAGGGATTGGTGTGGCCTCATCTAAGGTGAAGACTACAAGAAAAGTGAAGCTAGTATACTTACAGTCTTATTTCTCTGTCCCCAACACTTACCGCCAGGTTGTTCAATGGTTAAAGTAATTTATTAATTCAATTTTTTTTTCTTCTGCTGTTTCTGGATATAGTGTTAGCTCTGCCTTTAGAAGAGTTTGCCGTAGTTCAGGTGTAGGTGCGTGCGTGTGTGAGTGTGCGTGCGTGCGTGCGTGCGTGTGTGTGTGTGTGTGTGTATGTGATGTCAGGTGGTTGGTGACATCCAAAGGTGACAGTGAAAAAGAGAAAAGGAATGCGGAGAAGTAAAAGTACGGAAAGTTCAAAGGGAAGGTTCTGGAATCTGACAGACTAAAGCTGAAGCACAGATTCTATATAGATCTCAGCCAACCCTCTTCACTAGAACACAGAACAATTCAAAATATTCTCTCACTTGTAAAACCTGAGCACTTTCGTCTCCTCAAGTCTTCCACAGAAGCGCACAGTCCTTGAAGTCTTAGCCTGGCTTCAAAACAATGGTTTAGGAAGACCAATTAGCTGTGGCAGGCGGCGTTAATTTCCTTAGAATGAAACTCTCCAAACGCGCCCACTCCTTTGCGCATCCTCAAATACTAAGCCTTCCGGGAGCCCCAACGAGTGTAGTCTGCGCATGTGCGGGAGTTGGACGCGTTGTTTGTGCTTCTATGTTTTTGTCCTTAGGTCCTGCCGTACCGTCCAGGCGGCGAGTTGCATTCTGGTTCCGTCGTGTGTGTGTTGCCGAGTGAGCTGACTTTCACTTTACCCCGGGGGCGCTAGAGCCACCATGAACCGCGACGCCTTCGCGGCGGGCGAGCGACTGGTGTCGCCGGCTTATGTGCGGCAGGGCTGTGAGGCCCGCCGCTCGCACGAGCACCTCGTACGGCAGCTTCTGGAGAAGGTACCGAGGTGTCGGTCCCCTCCCCAGCCGCCGCGCCCGAGGCTCCGCCCAGCGCCCGGTTTAGCTCCGGGTCCCGCTCCCTCAGCAGCGTGTGCTGTGTGAGACTGTTGGCCCAGGCTGTCGCATCTGGGCTCTCATTTCCTTCTTGGTCTCGCCAAAGCTGGGGAAACCCAGAGGGTGTTTTTAGGGGTTGGGGTTTAGAGCCACCTTTCTCCATCTTTGGATTGCAGAAGGGCAAAGAAAGTCCACGGCTGGCTGGCTTGTATTTGCCGAAAGAACAAAGTTCTTTCCTTTATCGCTCCTCAGAGTTAAGGGTACACCTGACTGTACACCGAGATTTACCAGCCTGAACTTTGTTGTTTGTTCCGAACTTCACAGGGCTAGCTCCTGCCAGCCCTCCTGTTAATTTCAGTGCTGTTTGACAACCCCTCGTTAGAACACCTTGCATATTCACCTTGGCTATGGTGTCTCTCACTTGATGACGTTTAAAAACTGAGTAGACTTTAGCGAATGCTTTTATCTCCACGCGTCGCAATTTGCAAATCGTCACAACCACATGTAATAGGGATGTCTTGCTAACCGAGGTTTCTTCATAGTGCTGAATTTATGTGCGGCTTTTAGAAAATGAGCATGGCAAGATGTACGTTTTAAAAGTTTAAAATATATTGATGTTGGATTTTCCTGGAGTAATAATAAACTTTTTTTTTTTTTTTTTTGTCTTTAAAGGGCAAGTGTCCAGAGGATGGTTGGGATGAAAGTACACTTGAACTCTTTTTACATGAACTTGCAGTCATGGATAGCAACAATTTCTTGGGCAATTGTGGTGTGGGAGAAAGGGAAGGGAGAGTGGCATCTGCGCTAGTTGCTCGTCGTCATTACAGGTATTTTTTTTGTTCTTGTAAACCTGAAAACATTTATTTCTTTCTTCTGAGGGCGACAGTATTCATCTTATTAAATGATAAAGTTGTCCGTTTAGAGGGGCATGTAAACCAAATACGGGTGCTTTTCCCACATACAGTAGAGTTCAAGTTCCCATATGTGCTGGTTATTCTATGAGCTTCTGGGAGGTGAACAGCACAGGCTGCACGTTTTGATAAGAATATTAACCTAGTTAACCTGTGTGGTTGAACATGTTTAAAACACCTTATGGCTGCTTATACTTTTTGATATCTTTCTATATGTATCTAATATAATGGATATAATATCTATTATAACGCCCCACCCCCACTCCCTGCCCCATTTTCCTCTATGCTGGAGATTGAACCCAGGGCCTCACAGAAGTACTCATATCCCAGCCCGCATTGAAGGTTTTCTTGGGGAATGATTTACAGTTAAAGTTTTAGTAATACATTGTTCATCTGTATCTAAGCAGAGTCCCATTTTATATGTCTTCTTTCTGTGCGATAGATATAGGGAACAGATTGAGTCCCATTTTTCTTTTGCATTATTTCAGGACGCTTTCCTTTAATTCTGACAACAGTTTAGTTATGGTAGATACAGGACAAGGTTTATTAGATTGTTTTTTAAATTTTTTATTTAGTTTTTAATTTTTTGAGACTACAGTTTTACTATGTAAGCCAGAATGGTCTTGAAGTTACTATGTAGCCAGGCTGGCCTCCAATTCATTGTAATCTTCCTGCCTCAGTCTTCAGAGTGCTGGGGTCACAGGTATACGCCAGCACACCGGCTTGTAGTAGATTGTTAAATCACTTTTTTCTTTTCCATTATTTCGGAAACTTACAATTCTGATTACCATTTACTTATTAATTAATAATGGTTCTAAATATCAGTTATTTCTTTATCTTCCTGTGACATGTAAATTCCTTAACTACTTTTCAGTTTCTGCAGTTTTCCTAGGCATAATTGAAACCACTGCAGTCAAAACGAATAATAATGAATGTATAAATAGGTTGAAGATTCCATGTTTATGAATGGGCCAATAACATAGTTGATAATATTTGTAAATGGTTTATTCATGAGGGTTTAGTGATAACACTAGATTTAGCAATCTAGTGTTCTGTAATAATCCCATTCAGAATTCAGGTTTATTTGACTATAAGTTATAGATTATTTCAGACTATGAAGGATTTTTAATTTTGAATCAAAGTTAAAGGCATACTTAAGTAATGTGTAACACTTAAAATGAGCGAATTTGCTCATTTCTTTTTTCTTTTTGTTTTTTGATACAGGGTTTCGTTATGCAGTTCAGGCTGGCCTTGAACTCACTTTGTAGCACAGGCTGGCCTCAGACTGGCAGCAGTCCTCCTGCCTCAGCCCCCCAAGTGATGAGATTACAGGCATGCGCCATACCCAGCGTTCATTAATTTTCATGAGGTGTATATTAGTACATTTTTAAAACATCAGTTCAACCCCCTGGGAATATAGCACACTGCTATGGGCAGGAGAAAAGGGTACAGTCTTAACGTCCATACTCTAGTGTTCTACTGTTGTATATAGCAAACCTCCTCAAAACTTAATGGCTTAAAAATGTTTTATGAAGTATGATTGAAAAATATGTTGGATGTATTATAGTAGAACACAGATTGCCATTAATTCCCCTCAGAATCCTCCCCTTTGCTTCAAATTCATTTAGTCCATTGTTCTGCCACTGAGTGGTCCTGGAAGTCCTCTTGCATAAGTGTCTGGTTGTGCTGTCATGGCTGTCTCAGGGTCCTGAATTAATTGAAAACATTTACCTCTTTCATGGCCATTTTGATTTTGGGCAAGAAATCACATGGTGCCAGACGGAGTGAATAAGGTAAAGACACACCGTAATATTGTTTACAAGCCTGCCGTTCTGTTGGGTTCTGCTCAGCAGCAATTTTCACTGTTTTTTTTTTTTTTATGCATTACTATGTAAAGACACTCACAAAAAAGGACTTCCTGAACAGCTTCAGAAAGAGGCAAAAATGGTGGAGTAAGTGTGTTCAAAGCAGAAGGGAATATTTTGAGGGCAGCTAGTGGTGATGTGTTTTTTACTCTATAATAAGTTTTAAAACTTTGAGCATTCCGTATTTCCGTTGCAGCTGGTGTTACTATTTTGCATAGTTCTGTGTGTTAACTGGGCCCAGCAGGGTGTTTTGTTTTGGGTTTCTGGTGCAGTTGTGGTGAGTTTAGTTACGTGAAAGTTCAAGTGAGCATCTTATACAAGATGACCAGCTAACATGCCCAGGAGCTTAGATGGATGGCCTTGCACTTTTTAGCATGACAGCTGGATTTTGAGATAAGGGTCTCAGAAGCAAGCTTTTCAAGAGGACTTGTGAAAACTTTGGGGCTTCTTAGGCCCTAGCTAAGACAATCACTTTGTTAGATTCTTCTTAGCCAAGCAAGTCTCTAAGGCCAGCCCAGATTCAAGTAGAGGTGGCATTAGACTGCAGTTTTGGGTGTGGGCATAGAGAAAAAAAGGAGTTAAAGGTTGCTATCTGTGGACCACAGCATAATTAATGATGCCATTTCAATTTAAATAGGATATTTCCACATTATTAATAGTTTATGAAGTATATATACAACAGCCAAATAACATCTTTGGTGTTATTTTGGTAATTGTATTTGTATAGTGTATGTTTGATCAATCACTTACAGTCCTGAATGTTTTCACCAGCTTTGGCTCTTATTTTGCTTAGGCTCATTCATGGAATTGGACGATCTGGTGATATTTCTGCTGTGCAACCAAAAGCTGCAGGCTCTAGCCTTTTGAACAAAATTACCAATTCTTTGGTTCTGGACATCTTAAAGTTGGCTGGTATGTTCCATTTTAATCATAATACATAAGATTTGGTGACCATATAGCACATCTTTGCCTAATTGCTTTTGTTTGTGTTTTTTTGAGACAGGATCTTGCTATGTAGTCCAGGCTGGGCTTGAACGTGTAGTAGTCCTCAGCCTCCCAAGTAGTGGAACTATAGGCATGCACTATCATGCCAGGCTTTAATTTCTTTTATTAATGCTTCTTTCTAAAAAGATGAGTGGCTTTTTTAAAGGACACGTATAGCAGATATTTCAGAATAATTAGAGCAAAACAGGATATTGTAAAATGAATACATATAAGCCATAAGCCCAGAGGATAAATCTGACAGAGGTTCTTAAAAATGAGTACAGAAAAAGAAATTCTTGGGCTGTAACTATTTGATAAAACCTTTTATTATTTCTTCAAGAATGTTGTTTTTTTAAATGAGATTACTAATTTATGTTTTCTTATAGGTGTTCCTACAGTGGCCAATTGCTTTGTGGTTCCTATGGCAACTGGTATGAGTCTAACCCTGTGTTTTTTAACGTTACGACACAAAAGACCAAAAGCAAAGTATATCATATGGCCACGAATAGACCAGAAGTCCTGCTTTAAATCCATGATCACTGCAGGTAAAAGAAGATAAGTAGCACAGATAGTGTTTTCAATATCCCAGTATGAGAAGATTCGAGTATTTTCTTACAGAGATAACTAAATGTGCTTCATATTCCTTCTTTAAAAAAATTATGGCAAATCACACATGATATAAAATTTGGTATATATATTGCTTTATCCAACTTTTTTTGTTTTGTTTTTTGTTTTTTTTTTTTTATCTCACTATGTAGTGCAGGCTGGCCTTGAACTCACTTATGTAGTTCAGGCTGGTTAGAACTCAGTGATTTTTCTGCCTCAGTCTCCCCAATACTGGGATTATAGGCATACACCCCCATGCCTGACTGTCTGACTTTTAAGTTTATAGATATCTAAATATTTATTTTTAAAGGTTGCATGATGAGCATGTGTGGGGGGAATCTTTAACTATGCTGGTTAAGTATATTACTTCAATTGAAGACCAGTGTGATCCTCATGCTGCTGAAATTAAAGTTTTCTTTAGAGGTAAAACATTAAGTTCTTGACTGTGATTTAGTATTTGAATTATATTATTGTTTATGTTCATCTCTGAAATAAAGCAAACTCTAGGATAAACCTGAAATATTGCCAGAGAATGAGCAAGCTTAATTGAACAGGACTCAGCATCCTTTTTTATTATCAATGTCTATATTATTTCCCTAGATACCTGTTTAATTTTTGTTTTCCTTACTTTCCAGAATTTTTTTTTTTTTGTATCACAGTGTTAAAAAGAGCTGTGATCTGAATCTTCATGTGGTCCTTCACATTGCCTTGGCTGCCTTGACCAAGGCGAGTACACTGAGCTGGGTCTTTATTACTAGAGAAAGGCTCACCCAAACAAATACCTAAAGTTGTTATGTGGAACAGCACTGCTTCCTAGAATTGTCTGATTTTCCCTTATTTGAGTCCACATTGAGATTTTGTTTCCGGGTTGGCTTGGCTAGGTTTCGAGCCTGTGGTGATAGAAAATGTTTTAGAAGGGGACGAGCTGCGCACCGACCTGCAGGCTGTGGAGGCCAGGATCCGGGAGCTGGGGCCTGACTCGGTTCTGTGTGTTCATTCTACTACCTCCTGTTTCGCTCCGCGAGTGCCTGATAAGTAAGTGGTTTGCACATAGTGACTTGCAGTGTTCATCAGCCTGTTAAGTAAAATGTGATACGCTAGTTCTCAGATATGCTTCCATAACATTTGGTAGTAAATAGTGACTGCACTGCCCTAAAGGCATAGCCTGACCTTGTGGGTAGCTTAGTGGGAGAATATTTGGTGTAGAAGGAGAAATCACTGCCGGGCAGGCGGAGGTCGCATTACAGCTGGAGAGAGGCAGTCTGTTTCCTTGCTCCTACTCTCTTTCCTGTTTCTGAGCATCTTTTCTGATTAATGGAAATTTCTTTCTCAGTTAAATGCTGGACCTACTTGTTTCATTGATACTCTCTTCACTGACTTTTTATATGTAGGAACTATCAGTATTGGTAGGTTTTAAATAGAAACCTGGGCTGGGAATATAGCTCATTGGCATAAGTGCCTGCCTGGCAACTGTGAGACTGTGAGTTCAATTCCTGGTACCAAAAAAAGAAGAAATATGATCTCTAAACAGAAACCTTCAGGGTTATTTACTTTCCTTTGAATTTCATTTAATTATACAGTTAATTAAGATGTTTACTCAGAGGTTTTTTGCATTTTGAAGATAATAAATATTTAAGAAAATAAAAGTAAAAGAAGGAAAAATGCAAATGAGAGCTACCGATTTGTATTCTGAAAATATAATAGGGCCCAAGTCTTATTAATACCAATTTTTGTGTTTGATAGAAACCCTGATTTTAACATTTTGAATGGAAGTGCTAAGAATTTGTAAGAACTGTATTAGCTTTATATGTTCCTTATATCAATTATGCTTTGATTTTCATAGAATCATATTGTTTGTCAGTAATGAATCCATATAAGCATTTTTATAGGCAGATTTAAAAAGACAATTTAGGCTGGGGATTTATCTCAGCGGCATAAGTGCCTGCCTTACAAGCAGGCAGTCATGAGTTCAATCCCCGGTACCGATAAAAAAGAAAAAGACAAAAAAAAAAAATTTAAAAATCATGCTCTTGAAAATTTACTTTGCTACTTTTGTGAGCCTATAAATTCTGCTTTAAGATTTTATTTCTTATATTTTATTTCATTATTAACCAATCATTTATAATTTGTATTTTTCTTTGATGATTTTGAGATATAAAAAAATTTTAATACACTAGAAATAAAAAACATTTCCAGTAACAACACATGGGTATTTGTATTAGTTGGATTATTTATTCTTAGAAAAGTTTGTTTCATTATGAATAATTTTTTCAGTGTCTGTAGTACGTTTGGTATAGCATTAAGTATTTTGCATGTACTGTCTCCATTAAAAATTAAACAGGCCTTTCCCCCCCCCTTTTTGTTTTGAGATAGGCTGTCCCTGTGGAGTCACTTGAACTCACCATTAAGCCTTGGCTGGTCTCAAACTGACATCCTTTTGCTTCAGCCTCCTGACCCAGGGAGTCCAGGCATGTGCTACTACATGTAGCCCAAACAGGGTTTTTGTAGTCAGTAGAATTCTCATTTTCACTTTCTAGAAGTGCTAGATATTGAATGCTTCTGATAAGAATAAAGTTTAGGAAACTAGTAATGCACCATGAGTAATGTTTTAGTTTCTGACTTTACAATTTAAAAACTACATTTGTTTTCTTTGCATCAATGTAATTCCTTCATAATCTTTATTTTAATGAATATAGTGCCTATTTTGTCTTTGTTAGTTAGTTGTACTCTAGAGAGTGTTATAGGGGAAATCTACTTAAATGGAAAGGGGTTGGTCATTTTTTCCTAAATGATACACACCTTAAACTGGCATCTAAATTAGAACATAATTTGATTCACATGGAAAATATTTTTTCTTCATATGCTTTGTTTTTAAATTATCTTTTAAAACATCCTATTAACAGAGTTAGTCATTCAAATTATTTAAAACTATTTAAGTGATTTTTAAAAAATAAACTGTAGTATTATTATACCCTATTTTTTTAAAGTAGTTCTGTTTTAAAGGACAGTGTCATTAGATCACACACAGGTGAAAGTGCCTTTTATCTTAGGAAGAAAATCTGTATGTGTATCCCAGAAGGTTAATTTTGCTACAGACATCATTTGATTACTGACAAAAGCAATTTCTGTATTGATTTGTAAGGCTGAATGATAAAACAAGTTTTTAAATTCATAAAACTTCAAGGAAATGAATTGAAAACTTGTGACAGATGAACACAATAATCTCATTCCAATTTATAGTTTGAAAAAATATTAATTCACATCTAAAAATAAACTATATCTTGCATAATTTGGCAGTAAAACCATAATGTATATTTGAAATACATCTTTTGAATTTTTAATCATATAAAAATGATTTCCTTCCAGATTTTATATTATAAGGAGAACTTTTAAGAAGTTATTAAATCATTGGATTTAGTTTTAGTTTCATAGTGTGAAGATGTTTCTACTACTGCCGGTCTCAATCATAAGGAGTATTTTGTTTTGTGAAAGAACCTTTTTTACATATTATGTTGTAATTGAGATTTATTACCTTACTTTGCATAAAGTTAAGGCTCATACAGTTTTAATATAAGAGGTGTAAAATGAAGAAATAATAGTGAATAAGCATAGACTTAAAACCAGCTATTTAAGATTCTTTAGTATCTAGGTTGTTGCAAAATGTGTTGATACTGAACCATTTTAATGTTCTGTATTTTTAGTACATTAAAGTTTATTTATAAATGCATTTTTAAAATTTCATGACGTGGTTAATGTTAGATTTAAGATTTCCAGATATACTATTGTTTTGAAGCTAGCTTCAGTATGGGAAGCAAGCAAAGTGTCTGAAAGTCCCAATCAGACACACAAGTTTAAATATCTCACTGTTTCTCTTGTGTGAGAAACCCAAAGGGTAAGTAAGGAGCAAAATGGAGGTGAGATGTCAGGAAGCAGAAAGAACAGGTTCAAATGGGAAGGGGGACAAGGGATGGAGGGGGGGAAAGGGGGAAGGCAAGGAGGGGAAAGGTGATTAAGAAAAATGGAAGGGAAAAATCGAAACAAAGCTTTTGTAAATGGGCAGAGCAAAAAGGATTGAAGGGAGGAGAGGGGAGTGGGGAAAAAGGAAGAATTAAGGCATTATATCCTGTAATCCCAGCATTTGGGAGACTGAGGCAGGAGAATCATTCTAAGTTCCAGAAGAGCCTGGGCTACAAAGTGAGATCAAGGCCAGCCTGCACTGCATAGTGAGACCCTATCTTAAAAAGACAAGGAAAAAAATAATAAAAAGACATACTATGTGCAGGTACAAATTTCCCATGATGGATGTGCTCATTATATATGGCAAATATGTACTGATAAAAGTGTTCTTAAAAATTAATTCAGCCCCCCCCTCCAAGAGCATCCTATCTTGTGAAGGGTCATTATAAATAATTTCCTTTTGGCTTTGTAAATAAGTTTTGAAATAATTTATTGTGGACATCTTTATAAATAAAAATGTGTTTTTCATTTATTGGTAACCTTAATTTATAAGCTTTTTGGGTTTTCCTTCAGTGCTTATTATGTATTTCCAAGCCGATGAATTATATGCTAACATCCTACAGAAGAAATTTTAACTCACCAATACTTTACGGTTGACTCTTACATTTTTTAAAAACAGATCTCATGTAATATACAATGCAGAGGGTTAATGTATCTTTCTGTTGAACATCTATGTTTATAGACTAGAAGAACTGGCTGTGATTTGTGCTAATTATGGCATTCCACATGTAGTCAACAATGCTTACGGAGTACAGTCTTCAAAGTGCATGCACCTCATTCAGCAGGTAAGTTTAAAAAGCTATGTCAGAAAAAGATTTTGGCATATTTTGAGATTATTTTTCTCACAATCTAATGTGGTAGGAAGAGTTATCCAGCAGTTTCCATTTCAGGGAGTGTTAGAAACTTATATCCAATATTCTCTCAGTGTGAGTCATTAATGATTCCTTGAAATTATGGACATAGTTGGATAATAGCTTTGGTAGACCAGAATCAACAAAGTAATATTTCAGTGGGGTTTTTAATTTTCTAAGACTGTTTCATTAGCAAGATCTTTACTTTTCTAATATATTGGATTATAGTATCTTTATATTGATTATTCTGCATTTAAGAAATTACTTTATCTTATCCTAAAGAGGAAAGGAATTTATAAACATTCTAACATAGGGCTCTGGAGGTGCCAGGCTTTTTTGTGCACTGTTTGGTTTCTAGCATAAGTATCAGCTAGGTCCTGGTCATCTCTTCTAGGTTCTAATTTTGAAAACTTGCCCGTGTTTTCTGTTCCTGTGAGAATGAGTCAGAGCCATGGCCTTCTGGGCATGGCGTGTGGCACTCTCGGCTGCTTCTCTGGGTTCCTTTTCTGCCGTGTGATCTGCTTCTTGCCAGCCTCCCCGGCTGCCTTTCTTGCCTCCATCACCGCGGCTGTGCCAAGGGCGGGCCTTGGCACCTGGCCCTGGTGCCGTTGCTTGTTGTTCTCGCTGGTTTGCCTGGTGGCATGCAGCATGGCTTTCCCCTCACTGAACCTTCCCAGATGCTCTGTCTAGGATAACACTCCCTGCTTGTTGTGAGTCTTTTCTTTCATTTCCTGTTTTACTATATTGGATCTGGATTTTCCACGTTATGACATTTCGGAAATTGGTCTCTGTACAGTATTACTTGGCAGTGTTTTTCTGGAAATAAAGGTGTTTCTTAATGTTGATGGCTCCTTGCTTTTTATCTGTGTAGTACCTAAGTTATTGACGGTAGGTAGAGTTAAGGTTCTGTTAGAGCTAGGACACTTTGTCTGTCAGCTCTCAATACTTAGTTCAGTACCTAATCATAATTGACATTCAGTAACTGGTTACTGAATGAAACGAGTAAGTAAGTGTATTTATCTGTGTATGATGTAGACATTGTGTACACAGTAATGTTAATACATTCAGTTTGGACATATGTGATTTATGTTATGTGGACATAAGTTATTCAGAGATTATCTGTGAATATTGTGAAGCTTACAGATCCTATCTGGTAAGGGTTGTTTTTATCATTTTGCACATAATAGTTTCATCTTTGATATGTGTGGTTTAATAATGGTAACAGCGGAATGACTTAATTTTACCACTAGAGTCTACCAAATTTGTATGGGAGCAAAGGAAGGGTGTACAGTTTTATACTGGAAATCTTGCAAAACATTTTATTTCAATTTTTTTGTTTCTCTCTTCACTTTACTCTTCTTTAAGTTTTAGTAATCATAGTTCTTTTGAAATGCAAGCATGTCAGCATTACTAAAAGTTAAGAAAAACAAAGGTGTAGATTACCGCCATCTTAGTCTATCAGATGCCTTTAGTGACTTACATAGCCACATTTTTCTCTTTTTAACACATTCCCACTGGCTTAAACAGCCAGTGGTACATGTAAGACATGCTTGAGCCACTGGTGATGCAAATGGATCTAGTCATTTGTCAGCCTTTTTACTAATAAAATTAATAAAAAGTGGCTTGATGGGACAGTCATACATGTACTGCCAGTGGCTCAAATCACTCAGCAATAAAACATGCAAATTGCAGAATGTGTTAAATGCATGCATTATTTCTATATAGTTATAGTCACTCTATATAGTTAGCATTAGATATTTTAAACTCTGCTTGCTTATAATGTCTTCAAAATGACCATTTTAATATTCCTCAACATTTACTGAGTTGTCATCTAACCTAGAAAGGCCCAGTGTTGCCGCCCATGACATACTTTGGATTCTTTGGTGGGGTGCCTACACAAGGGGATGTTCTTAAGAGAGGTGAAGACCGAAGCAAATGAGCTCCAGCGTGTGCTTTGAAAGGTGCCATTGGCATTGTGAGCACTAGTGTCCCACTTCCGCACCACTGCTCCGTGTGCACGGGGTCACTAACATTTTAACTGCAAAAAGAAAACCATTAGATGGTGAATGAATTGTTAAATGCCCATTTGCTGCGTGTATTGTATTACCTTCTAAAGTTGGTATGTCTTAAAGAAGAAAAAAGCAGTATAAAATAATTGTCTTCCTCACGCTGGCCTTCATGAAAAGAAGTTGTAGCATGGTTGCATTAAACCAAATAAATACACTGGCCTTGTTGAGTGCTGCTTGCCATTTTCTAAGTAATTAAAGTTACCTTCACTTATGCTGTAGTTCTCACTGGTAATAAGTAGCATTTACCGAATAGCCCCTATGTATGGTAGAATTCTGTCAAACTTTCAAAATTTCTTAATCCTAGTAATTTAAATTATACTTTTTATTGTTCTCATTCTACACATGAAGAAACGAACTCAATGGAACTAAGTGACTTGCTCAAGTTTCTGTAGCCACACGGTAGCCCTTCTAGCTCAGTGTGACTGAGTCCCATGTTTTCTTTAAAAACAAGTATTAAAACTGCAAGGTTTTTGTTGAGAAAACTGTACAGCAATAATCAGGCAATCAGTGGAGAAAGAACTGCAACTAAATGTTCCAGAATGAAAAAAGTTTTTTAGGGAATGCCCCCAAATGATTTAAATGATTTAAATGATAGGGTGTTCAGTCTTGGGAATGTTCCTGTTTGTGTTTACTAATACAGCTAATTTGGGAGATTCATGGAATACGGGCAGTAGATTAATGGAGAGGGAGGCAGCAGAGTTATAAAGATACGGACGTGGGGTTTATTAGTCAGAATGGATGGTAAAGCTCCAAAAGTACTTATTGAGAATTTGAGAAAAGTTAGTGTTAATAGTACTTATTTGTATTCCTAATTGTCATTCAGCGAATATTGCTGGATTCCCACTGGTGTCTGATAGTAGGATATGTGCCTGGCATGCTGCTATGAATACATCTCAGTCCTTCCCTTACAGCAGACCGTGAGTAGTAAATATGGGAGGTCTTTCCATGGACATTGGTATTCAGGAAAAAGATGTGTTAGATTAGGTAGTGTAATACGGGAAAGCCTCTTCAAAAAGTAACCCATAGCAGATTTCTGAATGATGTGAAGCAGTGAGCTGAACAGTTCCCTAGAGAGCAAGGTTCCAGACAGTAGACAACAGCAAGCGCAAAGGCTAAGGCAGGAGTGTGTGAAAAATAGCAGCGAGCCAGGATGGCTGGGCCCTGATGAATGGGGGAGCGGTGGCCGGGAGATGTGAGGTGTGTAGGGATCTGGGAGCGACAGAGTGACCTGCAGTCTGTGGGGAGTAGTATGTGGATGGCAGGAGTGGAAGCTGTTGGAACAGCCGTGTCAAATATATTGGTGGCAGGGCCAGGGTGGGAGCTGCACAGGTGCTAAATATGATTCAATTCAGATACATTTTTAAGAGTGGATTTCAGTGTATGCTGGTAAATTACAGGTAGGGTATGAGAAAAGGAGAATTGAGACACTCTAAAGCTTTTAGCTCGAGCACCTAGAAGAGATGAAATGCCATAGGCATACTTTATCTTTTAAACATGGCCACTTTATCTAGATGCTGATCCCTTCTGTGTCACTGATTGCTTGGGTAATTTTCAGCAAGGTACTTTAACTGCCTGGGTTTGAATTCTGTCTGATCTTGAGTAGGTGACATTAATTTCACTATGACTTTATTTTGTCATCTGTAAATTCGGTATTATGGTAACATTTACTTCATATCATTATTGTGAAGATTAAATGTGTTTTGGATATAAAATGCTTAAAACAGTGCCTAGTACATGACAAGTACTCAGTAAATTCTGGCAGTAGTTATATGAACAATTACAGTGATACCGCGGTTCATAAACACTTGGATTTGCAGACCTTTGCTTTGCAAACAGAAGCCTTTGAAAAAGCTTTGTTCTTGTTTGCAAACTCTGCATCAGGTCACAAACACGACTATAGCCATCTTTCCTACACAACCATAAACATGGCTCTTTTCCAAAATCATGGAACAGATTAAGTTCATGAACCAAGGTACCACTGTATTTTATTCACTGCCGCTGGCTCCACAGCCTACAACAGTATCTGGCATGTGACAGATTCTCGTCTGTTTGCTCTGTGAATAAAAGATTAAATGAGGGAACCAATAAAAGACATTCCCTTACTTTTAGACCATGCTCTTGTGCTTCCTATTTCAGTTCTTCCATCCTGATGGTTTTTCCCTCATTGTAGATATTAATATGAGGGATGAGTTCCTTGTACTATTCTTGAGATGGATGTGGCCTGCTAATTCATCATATTCATGTTCATATTCTCCCCAGGCCTTTTTGCTGAGTTACATCCCCAGCCCTTTTTATTTTGAAACAGGGTTTCACTAAGTTGCCCAGATGGGGCTTGAACTTGCAGTCCTCCCGCGTCAACTGCCCAAGTGCTGAGATTACAGGTGCCAGTGGGTGTGCCACCTCTTGAGTACTTGCATATTTTAGTGATGAAAGGGTTCCAGCCAAGTTTGGTGTACTGATTCCTCTCTTACTACTCCGGCTCCCTGTTTAGGCTTGTGTTTCAGCTAGGAAGCCTTAGACAGAACTTAAAAGGCAGCTCTGACCACTGTACCACTTTAGTTTTACATGTGCCATGATTTCTGGTTATTTATTTGTCTTAGGTGGTTTTTTCTGTTTTCTTTTGGAGGGATTTTCTAATCATAGTTCACTAGGAAATAAGGAGAGTAACAGGGAAGGTTAGGATTTAGATAGTCACATGATAGCTTCGGACTAGTCTGGGCCCCTTCCCTGCTTTTGCTGGCACTACCTGTGGCCTGTATCTGGTCTCTCAGATTAGACTGGCTATCTGTGCCTTCCATTCTCCCAGAGATCTGGAGGTAGAAAAAAAGTGTGAAGATGAAGGTCAAATGTGGTTATAATATTAATAGGAATGTAGGTTGTGAATACAGATTGAAAATCTGTGACTGCAGATAAAGAAAAAAGCTATCTTAGTTGAAATTTAGATAGTATCTCTGTTTTTAAGAGGAGAAAATTGAAGCACATTAGCCAGAAGGTCACAGACTTTGTTGGATGGGAACCAGAATTTAGTTATACATTTCCAGTAGGCAGAAGTATTCAGTTTTTCACTAGAGTATTAGATTTTCATTTGAAGTTCATTTGTAATAGAATGAGATCATCTAAGATTATAATATTAGAGAACATGAGGTATGTAGAAACATTGCTTTTGGAATTGCAAAGAATATACAAATAAAATTTTCATTAGTTGATGTTGAAAATAAAATTTTGGTTTTCCCTTTTGTTATCTGAGCAGTAGTTGGAACAGAGCTAGTTGCTTAAAGTGGTCATAAAATAGTAGATTGTGTAAACATCAGAGAGAGAGAGACACTTAAATATCTACATAGCTGTTTGGCAGCTTGGGTGGACGTATTCCATTAGGTCACATTGGCCATGCCGAGCTCACAGAGGGGGTAGAAGGTTGCAGATACGCGGCACGAGACGATTCGTTTGCTTTATGCAGTTTTAGGGTGTAAAGCTCTGTTCCTGTGCAGTTTCCACTGGGGTGGATAAAAAGCCCTGCCTGCCCCACACGGCTGTTGTGAGGACTGATTCATGTGTAAGAGCAGTCGCGAGCTGCGCAGTGCTCTTCTGCTTATGAGGAACACCACTTAAAACTTGGTTTAATGCTTGGAAACATTTTACTGGCACTATTACAATGACAGTAAAAATGGGAGGACTGCTTTTTATTTAATCTGTGCAATGTGTCTATAGTTACTCATTTTTAAAATTATGGTTGTATTTACGTTGTACAATATGATGTTTTGAAACATGAATGTGTTGTGAAATGGTTAAATCACACTAATGTAGCCATCACCCCAAATACTTACTGTTTTTAATTGGTGCTTATTTGTTAATAGCAGTTATTGGCTGTCCTTCTGGCAACTAATATGTAACATTATGTGTTATTTGATTCTAGGGGGCTCGAGTTGGTAGAATAGATGCTTTTGTTCAGAGTTTGGACAAAAATTTTATGGTTCCAGTAGGTGGCGCTATAATCGCTGGCTTTAATGATGCTTTCATTCAGGAAATCAGCAAAATGTATCCAGGTAAGTAAATTGGTTTTTTTGTTTGTTTGCTTCTTTTTTTTCCTCCCAGAAAAAGTACCAAAGACCCATTTGTACGCAGGCAGGTAAATTGCAAATTTCTAGTTTCCTCCACACCCCCTTTATTGACAGTTGTTCTCCCTTGTTTCAGGAAGAGCATCAGCCTCCCCTTCCTTAGATGTCCTTATTACCTTGTTAACACTTGGATCAAATGGCTATAAGAAACTGTTAAAAGAAAGGAAGGTAAGCATTCTGTTTCTTTTATAATAATATTGTAGACTAGAATAGTGCTCCAAAAGACTGTGTTTTGTGCCTATTAGTTTATCACATCGGGAATTAAACTCAGGAACTTCATGTTGAGCTACATTCCTGGGTCTTCTTATTTTTTGTTTTGAGGTAGGGTCTTACTAAGTTGCCAAGTTGACTATATAGGCTCAAACTTGTGACCCTTCTGCCTTAGTTCCTAAGTACTGGGATTAACAAGTATGTGTTACTATACCTGACTTCGGTAGGTGATTTTTGACTAGTTGTTATTTTTGGAGCTCCTGAAAGACAAATATTGTGTGTCTTCTTTTTAGGTTTTGGAAGCCCAAAAGTAAGTTGTGTGGGTATGAGAGGTCAGTCACAGGGAGAAGAATCAGACCAGAAGCTAGTCACCTTCTCAGGCTCACATAATAAATTTCTACTTTGCCGTCATTAGAATTTAAACTCATCAGTTATGTTGGCTATGAAAAGAGTTATGTTTATGTTTAAAAATTAGGCTTTGTCTATACCACTGAAAGCTAACAAGTCATGACAATTCCAAAATTATGACAGATAGTATTGTTAGGTCAGAGTAATATGTTTTATTTACTGCTTGTCTGAGAAAGTTAGAAAATTTTACTTTCTATACTTATTAGCAGTTGTAGACCCTTTGATAGTACTTTAAGTATTTTAAAACATATATGTTCTCTAACAGACTTACGAGGAATACATAATAAAAGTTTAAAAGTTTTGTGCCCTATTCTACCCTAACCATCTTTCTCCTTCTAGTTCAGTCCATGAGCAAGTGGTTGTTTACTTTTTCTCATGAGGACATTTCTCAAGATATATGTGATAAAGGAAGAGGTATTCAATAGTCATTAGGGGGATGTAAATTAAAACCACTGCCTACCTGTTAGAATCGCTAATGTAAAATAAGCCTCACAGTATTGAATGCTGGCGATGATCTCAAGTGAGTAAAACTTAGACCTTGTCAGAAGGAATGCAAAATGGTTCAGCAACTTTGGAACACGCTTGGCTTATTAAGTTAAGCATACACTGACTATATAAATAAGCCGTCCCACTTTTAGCTGTTTACTCAAGAGAAGTGAAAGTTTCTGTCTGATGAAAATCTATACATGAATGTTTATAGTGATCCTGTGCATAATTGCTTAAACCTGGAACCACCCCAGATGTCTTTCATTTGATGAACAGATAGACAAGCTGTGGTATATCTATAGTCAGCAATAAAAAGAAATGCACTATTGACATATGCAACAAAGTAATGGCTCTCAAATACCTTATGATGAGAGAGAAGCCAGACTCAAAAGACTGTGCATTACAGTTTCATTTATTTGCTATCCCAGAGAAGGCAAAAAATAGAGGCCAGAAGATAGATCAGTGTTTCCAAAAACCAGGGATATGGAAGGGAACTTTAGGGACTGATGAAATATATATTACATCTTAACAGTTGAAGTAATTTCATGGCTGCGTGTCAGAATTCATAGAAAATTCATAGACATGGTTGTCTGAAAAGGGGATGCCTAAAATTTTAGTATGTGCATATTATGCCTCAGTAAATGTGACCAGTGTTTTACACAACAAGAAGAAATTAGCAGTTTTGAAAACTCCACAAAGTTAAATCATGGCCATAGGTCATTGTAACCAAAAGGAGCAAACCTTTCAAAGAGTTTTCCCATGTGTCAGATGCGGACTGCATGTGTATGTGGATCAACACATGCCGTTTGTGTTGTTTCCGCTGCTGTTCGTGGGTCTCAGCTGTCTGTGATTTCACCTTGGAAAGTTAGTTGAACTTGCATATTTGATTTCACTGTCTATGAAAGAAATAACTTCTCTCTGATTCAACTTTTTTCTAGAACTCTACCACATTTATTAAAAGAGTTACTTTCAGGGGTTTGGTTATAATCATGGGAATTAACTTGTACTTTTTAGTAATCCAGATTAAGGCACATTGGTAATTTAAAAATCTTTTAAGATGATGGTCTCTTTAGTTTTATGGAGGCTCATAATCCATATCCTCCCTAGTCAGTGTTTGCTTGAAGGTGAAAAGTGTTGTGGAGATAAGAAAAATGAAGGGGTTTGGAGATGATGTGGAATCACTTCGTAAACACAGTGGTTAGGACAAGCCTTGTTGAACTGATAGTTGAAGTGACTTGAAGAAGTCTAAGGGAGTATACAACGTGATGGTAAAGAGCATTTCAGGCAGAAAGCTGGAGAAGGACCTAGGGCAGATGTGTCCACTGTGAGGAACAGCAAGGGGCCCGTATGGCTGGTGCAGGTGGGCAGGGAAAGCTGTGGCATTGAGATCAGCGGGACATGGAGTGGCTGATCATTAGGGCTTCCAGGCCATCGCACAGTCTTTGTCTCAGTGTCCCAGTAAAACAGGGGCCTTTGAAGGATTTGGTTTGCTTCCAGTGCTGGAATTGAACCCAGGGCTTTGCATATACTAGGCAAGCACTCTACCACTGAGCTACCCCCCAACTCTACTGAAGGGTTTCAAATTTAGTAACATGATTGGACATATTTTGAAGGGTCATTTTGGTTGGTCATTTGGGAATAAAGTAAGTTAACAAAGGTAACAACTGGAATACCTCGTAGGAGGCTGTCACAGTAGTCAAGAAGTGAGCTTTAGCTTGGAGCTGGATGTTGGCAGTGGTGATGAGAAATGTTTAGGTTCTATGTCTCTGATTTTAGAAATTAAGCCAATAAAAGTTCCTGATGGCTATGTTGTATAAGAGGAGAGAAGACAAGAATAATGCTGAGGTGTTTTAACCCAATAATTGGAAGGATGAAGAGCCATCAATTATAGAGCCAATCTATGGATTCCAGGGTAACTGCAGGAGTTCAGCAGTGGGTAAAAGTGAACTTGAGGTATCCCTTGACATCAAGATAGAGATATACTAGGCAAGCACTCTATCAGGCAGAGAGTGGATACATGTGTGCATCTAGTCTTAAGACACGGTGTTAGGCTGGAGATGAAATTGTAGGAGTTGGGCAGAGACTAGATTTGATTGCAGAAGAGTGACTCTAAACAGGAAAGGAGCACAAAGACTGACTCTGGGGTGCTATCGTGCTAAGAGTTCTGAGAAATGAAAAGCTCCAGCAAGGGAGACTGAGAAGGAGCGGAAGACCAAGAGTGTGGAGTTTGGGTGCCAAGTGAGGAAGTTTGTTGAGGAGAGGATGGTCCACATCCCCAACAGCACTGATCGATCAAAGAGGGCAGGATTGGTATTTGACCATTAGCTGTAAAAGTTTGTGTGAACTCATTCTCAATGTAGCCTTTCAGTGAACTTGTATTGTCTACATAAATACCTGCATGAGCATACGCATTTATGTACATACACAATATTCCCAATACTGAGCATTACAAGGGTAGACAGTGAATGTCTAAATGTTTAAAAAAATTATTACAATAAAAGACATTGCCACTAATATCCCCTCAAAATAATCCCTCTTGCTTTTAACACACTTATGCCTTCTTTCTTGCTGTTTTCTGAAGCAATTCTGGAAGTCCTTTTTCTTGAAAGTGTCTTTACTAGGGCTGATAACTTGAGTGGATGCTGCTGCCAGCTGCCATTTTAAGGGCACACGGGCTTGATGAAAACAGTACAGTGGGTCCTCGACACTTCGTTGACTCGGTCTGCACCATGCATGTTCTAGCTCTTCCCCAAGTCAGAATGATATGAAAGGTAATATGTGACTAGTTTCAGGACATTGAAGCAGCCACAGCATCACAACTAATCAGACATGCTTGTTCGGTTACATTGCATATGAGGTAATCACTTTTCTAAGCACATTGTCAAGTATTCATTTGGTCCTAAAACATTCCTGTGAGGTTTTGTTGTCATCCTCATTTCCACAGGCAGTAGAGGGGTGGAGAGCTGACGGTGTGGGGCATGGGTTTAAACCTAGGTAATCTGGCCTCTCACCTTCCGTCTTAACCTCTGGACTCCACTACCTTTTTCTTATATAAATAAGTAGTCTAGCCTTGTAGCCATGTAGCTATAACTGAAGACTTAGGTCTACTGATATCTAGAGTAGGTAAAAGCAGTGAATAAATTTAGCTATTCCCATCCGGAAGTTACAGTTATATTTTAGAATATTCTTTGTACAGAATCCTCAGTGCTCCAGGTTGTCCTGGGGGATCAGTCAGTCACAGTGACCTGCCTCCTCTTTTTTTTTCTTTTGTTTTTTGGTTATATTTTTATGGTTATATATGGTTATATGTAGTTTGGTTATATTTCTGTGTCATTCAGGCTGGCCTTGAATTCACTATATAGCCCATGGTGGCCTCAGATTCATAGCAGTTCTGTCTCAGGCCCCTGAGTGCTGTGATTACAGGCGTGCACCCCCAGGCCTGGCTTTTCTCCACTTTCATGGGTGTGGATGTGGTGTGGCTAGCCTAGTTCATAGGTAGGCACGTGGAAGTAAAGTCCTTCCCGTAGGCTTGATGGATCTTTTAGAGACAGAGGCCCTTTGCTTTGAAGATAGTAAGGTGTAATCTTAGGGTGTCAGGTGCCTTATTTCCAGCTGTGAAGGGAGACTTGATGAGAACAGGGAATATTAGAAAGAAAACAGAGCTGAGTACTGGAAACGATCCAGCTGTGCCTGCTCGTAGATGAAACTTGGATGCACCAGTAGACTGCCTCTTCTGTTTTAAACTAGACATCTAACACTGATAATTTGATTCTTCTTACATCCTTATGTTCTTGAACCATTAGGTGCTTTGTAATGTTTCTGACATTTTATGTTTTCTCCCCTGCCATCGCTCCCTAGTTTAGGCCCAAATAGCAGTATGCCTGGATGATTTCAGGGGTTTACTAACTCTTCTCCTGATTCCCATTTGTGGGCTACTTACTTTATCATATCATAAAGTAGCCCATTTGTGGGCTACTGTAATTTATCGTATCGTAGAGTAGCCAGAATAAGATTCTAAAAATACAACAAGGTTATCCTGCTTGGCGTTCCTGTTCTCTACAAGA